GTCCCTTACTCTTCTACCCCGGCCCCGGGTTCCTTACTCTTCTATCCCGGCCCTGGGTCCCTTACTCTTCTATCCCGGCCCTGGGTCCCTTACTCTTCTATCCCGGCCCTGGGTCCCTTACTCTTCTATCCCGGCCCTGGGTCCCTTACTCTTCTATCCTGGCCCTGGGTCCCTTACTCTTCTATCCCGGCCCTGGGTCCCTTACCCTTCTATCTCAGCCCTGGGTCCCTTACTCTTCTATCCCGGCCCTGGGTCCCTTACTCTTCTATCCCGGCCCTGGGTCCCTTACTCTTCTATCCCGGCCCTGGGTCCCTTACTCTTCTATCCCGGCCCTGGGTCCCTTACTCTTCTATCCCGGCCCTGGGTCCCTTACTCTTCTATCCCGGCCCTGGGTCCCTTACTCTTCTATCCCGGCCCTGGTCCCTTACTCTTCTATCCCGGCCCTGGGTCCCTTACTCTTCTATCCCGGCCCTGGGTCCCTTACTCTCTATCCCGGCCCTGGTCCCTTACTCTTCTATCCCGGCCCTGGGTCCCTTACTCTTCTATCCCGGCCCTGGGTCCCTTACTCTTCTATCCTGGCCCTGGGTCCCTTACTCTTCTATCCCGGCCCTGGGTCCCTTACTCTTCTATCCCGGCCCTGGGTCCCTTACTCTTCTATCCCGGCCCTGTGTCCCTTACTCTTCTATCCCGGCCCTGGGTCCCTTACTCTTCTATCCCGGCCCTGGTCCCTTACTCTTCTACCCCGGCCCTGGGTCCCTTACTCTTCTATCCCGGCCCTGGGTCCCTTACTCTTCTATCCCGGCCCTGGGTCCCTTACTCTTCTATCCCGGCCCTGGGTCCCTTACTCTTCTATCCCGGCCCTGAGTCCCTTACTCCTCTATCCCGGCCCTGGGTCCCTTACTCTTCTATCCCGGCCCTGGGTCCCTTACTCTTCTATCCCGGCCCTGTGTCCCTTACTCTTCTATCCCGGCCCTGGTCCGCAGACCTCATTGCTTGGAAAAATTCAGGTTTTGTTAATTTCAAATCAATTAACCTCTTAGATCCTGACAAAGACTTCGTTCCAGACCCAAAAGCCCTTAAGCTCTTTATCTACCTCCTGTGCTCCCCCTCAAGGGAGGTTCCTTGACGCTGGTGAGGGGTTCTTGATTTAGGGCAAAGGATCTGTGCTCCGGTTCCCTGAAATGAGCCTGAATACCTTCCCCCCCCCCATGCGCTGTATAATCCTACGGGTTTAGCGCTTCCCCATGATTATAAAAAATCTACCTCCTGTGATTTATCTGCGTACCCTGATGGTCCAAGTAGATTGTTTTAGCGGCAGCGGTGCCGCACGGTAGTGTAAGGTCAATGCCCGTTTGCTCCCTCCGTCCTTGGCCACAACCCCATAACTGTTCCCGGCCTCAACTAGAAATTGTATAGTCAGATGAACGGGAAGCGAAGGGATGGGAATAGGGTTAAGGAGAGGGGGAGGGAGGAGAGGGTGTTTGAACGGGGAGAAAGTCGGGAAGAAAAAAGAGGGGACGGGGAAAAAGAGATAATTAAGGGGTGAGTGGACAGAGAAGAGGGGGAAGCGGGGAGTGTAGTTTCCCTTATTTTGCAAGCAACATCATTTTATCGTTGCCAGTTTGTTCTCCACGTTAATCCAAATGGTTACTGGTTTGCTGCTGACCATGGAGTCACCTTAATGTCTACCGGTTTACTGTTAACCATGGGGGATCACCTAATGTCTACCGGTTTACTGTTGACCATGGGGATCACCTTAATGTCTGCTGGTATTACATATCTACTTCATTATTATGACCATTAATATGAATACAATGTCTATCATTGTACAGGCTATAATACTTGCGAGTCTTCAGCTCAAAGCCAAAGAACCGGACTCGATCCTGGAGTGGGTGGAGACGTTGAGCATGTTACCTTACAGCTATTGTACCTGTTTGCCTAACAGTAACTAGGTGGTGGTGGTGGCATTATTATTTACGAAGAACTTTGAGAAAACAGCAAAGAGGTACCTAAGCGTCATTAAACTGTGGGTCGCATACTGGGGAAAGGAATGAAAGGATTCCAATGGAAATAAGCCACATTACTTGGAGTTTGAGTTATTCTGGGCTACTAACCCGCCAGGTTAATAACGATCATAAGGTCAATTATACCTAGCAGTTTATTCTTTTTTTTTTTTTGACCCTCGAGTACTTCCTGCCCACACCTTGGCTCTGTCCACATTATTCACGGTTCATTTTGCTTTGGGCAAGTGTTGAAGGGGACGGGAGGAAAAAGAGAGAGAGAGAGAGAAAGAGAGAGAGAGAGAGAGAGAGAGAGAGAGAGAGAGAGAGAGAGAGAGAGAGAGAGAGAGAGAGAGAGAGAGAGAGAGAAATTCACGGGAAAGACTGGATATTTTTGCTATATATCAATTAACCAACTATAAACGTTTTTACAATTTCCTACCTCAATTTGTTCCCTGTACTTAGAGATGGTTTCACCTGCGACCGGCTTCGCGAGTTTTTCTACTTTGCCAGCCTTGCCCAAGAACAAGCTTCCTTGATTACCGCTTGCAAGTCTTTGCTTTCTCGAATCCACAAAATATTCTGGTGCTAATGGCCTCCAATCTATACTCGTTCTACCAGTTACTGAATACATTTTGCTCCTGGTGGATCTACTTTCCTACTGCATCTAAACTTTAGATTTAACTCTCTTTTCTTCGTCAGCAAAAAAGTGCCCCAACACGAGGATTATTCGCAAGATGATCCCTTTCAGTGGCCCCTTGGAGGCTTCGCTGATCTTACGAAAATAGTAAAAGTTGATCCTCTTGCTGAGCTTTAGCGATTCTGGCCCTATTGCTCGAATTATCCTTAATCAGGTACTCAGGGTGCTGTGTCACGACCTAGCAGCCCGGCTAGGCCGCCAGGGTTAGTAACAGCTAGGCCGCCAGTGTTAGTTAATAACAGCTATATATGTATGTCCCTATTAAACCCCTTCTCTTCCGTGGTTTACTTACATATATAATCGCTCGTTTTGCGATATCCTTGCACACAAAATATAATTTGAAAAACAAAAGGAAGATTGGTCAACAGGCTATGGAGTTTGTGCCTCAAAGCTTAAATTCCCTCCACTGACTTTCATGGGATATCCTGGGTGGCTAACCCTTCGGATTAAAAATCCGAACAAATGTATTCGTATATTCATTGGGAAGCTTCAAGCCCGTAAAGGTCCTACAGATCCTGGGAAATGGGAGGTAATCTACCATTTTAAGGAGAAGGAAAACCCAATTCCTTGGATGAAGAGCGCTTCAGAATCATGGTCCCCCCCCTTGAATGACAATCTTCAGGGACTATAGTGAACACTGCAACTTGATGGGTGATGGAGGCTCAATTATTTACCCTTGCCTCGAACACCTTACTTTCACTTAGTTTGTTACTTAGCAGGTACCACTCATGGCAGGCGCCGACCTTACTTTCACCTAGTTTCATTCCACTTTCCTTAAGCAGGTACCAGTTTCAAGGCAGCGCAGTTTCTGCAATACACTTCCATACATTATAACCTCTCCTCTATGAACTTAAGATTCTATTAATTTAACGAGATTATTATATATATTATATATATATAATATATATATATATATATTTTATATATATATATATATATATATATATATATATCATTGGAGAGAGGGGGTATGGAAGAAGTGAACGTTTTCAGATATTTGGGAGTTGACTTGTCAGCGGATGGGTTTATGAAGGATGAGGTTAACCATAGAATTGTTGAAGGAAAAAAGGTGGAGTGTGAGCAGGGTAATATTTTGTGAAGAGATTCAGGGAAACCGGTTAGCCGGACTTGAGTCCTGGAAATGGGAAGTACAATGCCTGCACTTTAAAGGAGGGGTTTGGGATATTGGCAGTTTGGAGTGACTATCTAAACTATCTAATAATTTAACATAATTAATGAATCAACATGATAAAGTTCTTAAGATGGCCTCCCTTCACTCCTGAAGACTGTTGACACTCCTTGTGACGTTATTGCTAATTTCTAGTAAGGACATACTGGGAGGGACTCGACACACAAGGAGCGCCCAGGTGGTATAAGCGATAGGAGTGCTAGACAGCTGGTGCAGCAGCTACCGGTTTGTGATGTCTATTGCGGTTTGTCTACCTCCCGGGAACATTCCACAGTCGAGGCTTGAGACTCCATCTTTGTATGCTAATACGAACGTACACTCAGCTCTAGTTGGTAATGACCAGCACTTTCCTTGCATGATCAAAATGCAATGAAATAAAAACTTATTACTAAAATAATTACAACTTCAATAAAATCATGCAGTGAATATTATTACATTCAAGGGGGAGGGAGAAAGCGCTAAATCAGTAGGAGTCATATTGCGCCCGAGGGAATGAGAGACAATAAGACTCAATCCAATGAAGGAAGACAAGTTCAACACCTTTTATCAACAGTTCCTCACAGGTATCAAAGAACCTCTCTTAAGGCTCATACAAAAACTAAAGTATTTTAAAAGCTATTAAACGAATCCTGAGACAGAACCGTGTTTTTCCACTATTGATTTCAACAGATTCTTCTACAAACGCTATTTTAGGTTAACTTTAAAAAATTTAATCAATTACAGCATATGTAAGGATGACTTACCGAAAAGCATGCCATGACTTATCTCAAATGAATGACTTAACTTTAAGGACCCTGGTCGAATCCTGGGCGGGACGATACGTACGAGTTCTAATACTTTTTGACCTTGTTACCTAGCAGACAGCAGATATCTAGGGAAATGAGCAGGATACCTGTGGGTAGCATCCTGGGGGAATAGCTAAAAATAGGACCCCAATGGAAGTAAGTCACACTGCTTGGCGTTCTTGGGTTATCCTGGGTTACGTGTCCAGAAAATGAAGAACCACGGAAAAAACTGAATGGATATAGTAAAAAAAAAAAATTCACTAAACAGGATGTACCGCGTTAAACCCACAATTACCTCTAAGCAAACTAGTTTTCTTTTATCTTACCTTAATGGCGATTTCGAGGTCCTCTTCCCTCATGATGGTCATCTCCGTGAGGTAGATGATAGCGCGGGTCCTGGTCTCGGACACCTGTTGCAAGAGGCCAGGGGGTGCTGACTGCACACTGCTTGTTATTGTCCTCCAATACTCATATTCACTTCATGCTAATGCTGGAAAAAATAAACCATTATTATTCACCTTAATGCTCTTGAATTATCAATAGTATGTGTAAATAAGCTTCTCGATTGGAAAATTGACAAATGGAACTCATATAGACAAAGGAAAGGTTTGAAGATTCCTCTCTTCTCCGTCTCCCTCAGGAAAGTATGGAGATAGCGTTATGGAAATTCTTAAGGCATTACGAGTTATTTACAATAGGCAAAGTCAAGGTATTTTTTCCAGAATGGCTGGTAATGTGCCAGTGGATAAAATACTTCGACTTTTCTTAAACATTTGAGCGAGTAGTTTCTGAATTAATTAATTAGATCGTACTTCAGTATATAATGAAACAGGGTGTGACACTAGTCTTTGTAATAAAGTCTGTGTAATATCAACTGATGATGCAACCTCCCAAGAGATGATCGCAGCCTAGCCAGAGCCTGGCAGTCAAGAGCTGATTTAGCTGGATGTGCCGTAGACATGTGGCTCCTCCTGAAAGACAATCCTACGTGAACTGAAAAAAAGTTTATTTACTGACTACCACATTTTCCCAGGAGCTGGAACTCCACGACAATAAATCACAAGAAATATATGTTTTGGCACACTTACGAAGCTACACCTGATAAATTACTGCAGCAAACTTTACGGCCGGTGTTTACTTAGAATGACAAGTTATACCAGGTAAATAATGAAGGTAAAGAAACTGCAATAGGCGACAAATGTTTTTTTTTTTTTCAACAAGTCGGCCGTCTCCCACCGAGGCAGGGCGACCCAAAAAGAAAATCCCCAAAAAGAAAATACTTTCATTATCATTTAACACTTTCACCTCACTCACACATAATCACTGTTTTTGCAGAGGTGCTCAGAACACAAGTTTAGAAGCATATACGTATAAAGATACACAACATATCCCTCCAAACTGCTAATATCCCGAACCCCTCCTTTAGAGTGCAGGCATTGTACTTCCCATTTCCAGGACTCAAGTCCGGCTATATAAATATAACCGGCTTCCCGGAATCCCTTCACTAAATATTACCCTGCTCACACTCCAACAGCTCATCAGGTCCCAAATACCATTCGTCTCCATTCACTCCTATCGAACACGCTCATGCACGCTTGCTGGAAGTCCAAGCCCCTCGCCCACAAAACCTCCCTTACCCCTTCCTTCCAACCTTTTCGAGGACGACCCCTACCCCGCCTTCCTTCTCCTACAGATTTAAATGCTCTCCATGTCATTCTACTTTGATCCATTCTCTCTAAATGACCAAACCACCTCAACAACCCCTCTTCAGCCCTCTGACTAATACTTTTAATAACTCCACACCTTCTCCTAATTTCCACACTCCGAATTTTCTGCATAATATTTGCACCACACATCGCCCTTAGACAGGACATCTCCACTGCCTCCAACCGTCTCCTCGCTGCTGCATTCACAACCCAAGCTTCACACCCATATGAGAGTGTTGGTACTACTAATACTTTCATACATTCCCTTCTTTGCCTCCATAGATAACGTTTTTTGACTCCACATATACCTCAATGCACCACTCACCTTTTTTTCCTTCATCAATTCTATGATTAACCTTATCCTTCATAAATCCATCCGCCGACACGTCAACTCCCAAGTATCTGAAAACATTCACTTCTTCCATTCTCCTCCTCCCCAATTTGATATCCAATTTTTCTTTATCTAAATCATTTGATACCCTCATCACCTTACTCTTTTCTATGTTCACTTTCAACTTTCTACCTTTACACACACTCCCAAACTCATCCACTAACCTTTGCAATTTTTCTTTAGAATCTCCCATAAGCACAGTATCATCAGCAAAAAGTAACTGTCAATTCCCATTTTGTATTTGATTCCCCATAATTTAATCCCACCCTTCTCCCGAACACCCTAGCATTTACTTCTTTTACAACTCCATCTATAAATATATTAAACAACCATGGTGACATTACACATCCCTGTCTAAGACCTACTTTTACCGGGAAGTAGCCTTCCTCTCTTCTACACACTCTAACCTGAGCCTCACTATCCTCATAAAAACTCTTTACAGTATTTAGTAACTTACCACCTATTCCATATACTTGCAACATCTGCCACATTGCTCCCCTATCCACTCTATCATATGCCTTTTCTAAATCCATAAATGCAATAAAAACTTCCCTACCTTTATCTAAATACTGTTCACATATATGCTTCAATATAAACACTTGATCTACACATCCCCTACCCACTCTGAAACCTCCTTGCTCATCCGCAATCCTACATTCTGTCTTACCTCTAATTCTTTCAATAATAACCCTACCGTACGCTTTTCCTGGTATACTCAATAAACTTATTCCTCTATAATTTTTACAATCTCTTTTGTCCCCCTTCCCTTTATATAAAGGGACTATACATGCTCTCTGCCAATCCCTAGGTACCTTCCCCTCTTTCATACATTTATTAAACAAAAGTACCAACCACTCCAACACTATATCCCCCCTGCTTTTAACATTTCTGTCATGATCCCATCAGTTCCAGCTGCTTTACCCCCTTTCATTCTACGTAATGCCTCACGTACCTCCCCCACTTACATTCTGCTCTTCTTCACTCCTAAAAGATGGTATACCTCCCTGGCCAGTGCATGAAATTACCGCCTCCCTTTCTTCCTCAACATTTAAAAGCTCCTCAAAATATTCTCGCCATCTACCTAATACCTCCCTCTCCCAATCTACTAACTCCCCTACTCTGTTTTTAACTGACAAATCCATACGTTCCCTAGGCTTTCTTAACTTGTTTAACTCACTCCAAAATTTTTTCTTATTTTCATTAAAATTTCTTGACAGTGCCTCTCCCACTCTATCATCTGCTCTCCTTTTGCACTCTCATCACTCTCTTCACCTTTCTTTTACTCTCCATATACTCTGCTGTTCTTATAACACTTCTTTGTACAAACCTCTCATAAGCTAACTTTTTCTCTTTTATCACACCCTTTACTTCATCATTCCACCAATCACTCCTCTTTCCTCCTGCCCCCACCCTCCTATAACCACAAACTTCTGCCCCACATTCTAATACTGCATTTTTAAAACTCATCCAACCCTCTTCAACCCCCAATATATATATATATATATATATATATATATATATATATATATATATATATATATATATATATATATATGATCTTTTTAACGGGGGGAAACTCCATAACTGTGGTCAGACTTAAATGACTTGTTCAGCTATCAGTACTTTGCGGTCCAGTGTTTGGACCCATTATGTACCTCTGTAATCCTCTGACTATCGCCCACAGGATGGGTATGGGGTGCATAATAAAGATGTTCAACTAAACCAACTTAACTGACCCAACTGAAATATGGTTATGTTCTAAAACCTGCCAGTGAACCTATATAGATGATGTGACGACTCTCCTCTGGAGCTTTGAGTCAACCGAGGCCTCCGCTGGCTTACCAGTTCATCTTTATCTTTTCAATGGTCGACTTCTCTTTCCTGTTCTTTCTCAACAACATTTTACCTTCCGCATCTTGGTGTTCCTTGCTCTTACAACCTACATACATTGCCTCCGTTTTTAACTTTATTACTGTTCACGCTGTGTCAGTTTCACCACAGTGCACACTGCGTGTGCTTGTACTCACCTTTGTGTGGATATAATGGATGAGTCTTAGCTCTTGGCCCCGCCTCTCAACTTGTCACTTGCCAGACTCACTCTGCCTCGTGAACCCTATCATACTTGCTTTTAATGTTATGTACGCAATCTACCTCCACCTTTTCCAAGTTCATACCGCCTTCCGACTAAAGAAATATTACAGACTCCAAAGTCTAACTTCCAGCCGTGTGCCAAAGTTCGTTTCGTGCCTCTCAAACAGCTTGTCTTTGTCTAGCCTATCAATTCCCCTAAATATTTTAGTGTGTGCGCGCGTGCGCACGCACGCACGCGCACGCACACACACACACACACACACACACACACACACACACACACACACACACACACACACACGCACACACGCACACACGCACACACACACACACATACACACACACACACACGCACACACGCACACACGCGCACACGCGCGCACACACACACACACACACACACACACACACACCCTATTTGTGGTTGTTAGGGTTGATTCACAGCTGGCGCCGCCTCTTCGCTGGTCGCTACTAGGTCCACTCTGCTCCATGAGTTTTATCATCTTTTAAAGCTATGTATGAATGCTGCCTCCACTACATCACTCTCTAGATTGTTCTACTTCCTGACAACTCTATGACTAAAGAAATACGTCCTAATATCCGAGACTCGTCTGAATTTTCATCTTCTAGTTGTGACTCCTTGTTGCTGTGTTTTTTTTTTTCAATTCAATTCAAAGTTTATTCTCTATAAGGATTACAATGCTGAGTTTACAGAAATTTGGTTATTGTTTGGTTTACATGTAGTAAAATAGTGATTACAGAGTGTACCACTAGAACGCTTAGCATGGCTAGGCATTTCGGGCATACTTAGTTTTATTCTTAATTGTAAAATATTACAAATTATGAGGTAAGTTGGTATTATGGCTAAGTGACTAAATACTAGTTTGTGAGTTTAGCAATGTGAATGCTTTTGTTTTGGCACAGTTTCAGTATTGGAGTATCACAGGATTCATTATTTTAAGACTGAGATTAATATTTCAAACATTTCGTCCCTATCCACCTTGTCAGTTCTCAGTATTTCATTTGTCATCATGTCCCCGCTATCCCTCCCGTCCTCCAGTGTAGTCAGGTTGATTTTCCTTAACTTCTCCTCGTAAGATATAACCCCTTAGCTTCGGAACTAGTCTTGACGTATTTGACCAGGTGCGGGTTCCAAACTGGTGCTGCAAACTCCAATGGGCCTGACGTACACAGCGTACAGTATCTTGAATGGCTCATTACTCAGGTGTCGAAACTCTCAGGTTTGCCAGGCGCCCATATGCCGCAGCAGTTATTTGGTTAATGTGCGCCTCCGGAGATGTG